GCAGGAGGCTGGCAGGATCTGGGCGGGGAGGTTGGGAGGATCAGGGGGTCTAACAGGATCTGCAGGGAAGCTTGGGGGGGGATCAATGGGGCTTGGTGGGATCAGAGAAGCTATTTGACAGAATCCTGTCAAATAACCCAAGACATCCCCCAGCCCCACAACTGCCAAACTATCCCTCATCCCACAAACCACTCCCAGGGATGGCTTTAGTGGCATTCACTGGTCCTAGAAATTTGAGGTCAGTAAGTCATGGTGCGGGGTGGTGTAGCAGTGCTGGCAGCTTCACAAGGGGGTTGGCAGGACAGGGGGTGGCTACCAGCTCTGCAGGGAGGTTGGTGAGATTGAGGGGCTCTCTTCCCCCTGACAAGGGATCATTTTTAGCGCCCCCAAATCCGTCTATCCTCAGACAAACAACTCCACAATTAACCTACCCCCCCATCCTACCCACCCCTCCCTCCACCTGATTGATTTCAATTGGGTTCCAACAGTGGCAAACACCAGTAAAACCAGCATCGGGAGTAGCTTGTAGGATTGCGGGGTTTGGCAGGCTAAGGGGAGGAGGGGGAGGGCATGTCTGTTGGGGGGGCGGAGCCAGAGGATTAAATATAGTCTGGTACTGGGTGGCGGGGGTTAGGAAAAGCACAGCACCCGGGCTGGGGCCAGCAGCTAGGCTTTTCCAGCCTGAGGGCTATGCTCAGAATGTGTAGATCTGTCTACTCCAGAGGCAGGCAAAATACAGCCTGTGAGCTGGATGTGGCCCACCACCCACTTGCATCCAACCCACCAACATACTGTGCCTGCCCAGCCCTTCCACCCACAATGGTGGGAGCAGGGCGCCCACATGTACACACAGTCCCAAACATACCCTAACGTTCCCACATCCTTGTAGGCAGAAGGACCCAGCTAACCAGCGTGCAGCTTCCACGCGGGGTTGCTGCTGCCACTGCTGCAGTGCCCGGGGACCTGGTCCACTTCCCCAGTCTCCTGCCAGCTCCGAGCAGCAGGTAAGGAAGCAGCGGGGCAGGGCTGAAGCCCGGCAGGAGCCCAGAGCATAGGGCTGGGGCACACTGCCTGCTGGGGCTGCGCAACATGGGAGTATAGGGTGGTCCCCATACCCTTCCACTCTCCCTCACACCCACATGCTACCCACCTGAGTTTCATGCTAAAATAAAGTCATATAGTTACTGAACAGGCGGTGTGCAGCAGCAGCAGCAGCAGGCGGGAGCACTCGGGGAGCAGATGCCCAGTGGGATGCAGCTCCAGCCAGTGCTCAACAACGAGGGCAGCCTCCACTGGGTAGTTGGTATTGCTGGTGCTCCCTGCCACTCACGCACAGCCCCTGCACTCACCAGGCATAGGAGGGAAGCCGCACATCTGGAGCCAGCTGCTTTCTCCACCAGGGCTGCATGGCGCTGGAGGTGCTGGAGCTGGCTGCCTTCCCCACCCCCCAGAGGAAGGTGCCTCTGGATTCCCTCTCCTGCCACGCAGCCCTGGTGGGAACCTGGCTCCAGCATGCAGGGTTTCCCAGCATGCAGGGTTTCCCTCCCATGCCCAGCGAGTGTGAGTGCTGCGCATGAGTGGCAGGGAGCACTGGTGAGACAGACTGCCCAGTGGAGGCTGCGCTCCTCGCCGCAATGTGTACTGCTGGCCAGAGCCTGTGCCCTGAGCGGCTCGCCTGCTGCAGCTGTGAGATGGGGGGAGTATGGGGAGGGGGTACTCACACCTCCTCACACCCCCCACAACCCCCCCACATACCCTATGTCCCCTAGACACTGGCACACCCTCTCACAACTCCCCCACAAACCCCCACACCCTACCACACAGACACATCCACACCCCCTACACACCACCATACACACTACACACACTCACACCACACACCCCCTCTACACATCATACACCCCCCCCACAATATACAAGGCTAAGAATACTTTTGAGTTATTATGCAATCACCCCTATGTACACTACGCAAACACAAATCATGACAAAAATATTTTCTGTAATAAAATTAAAATAATGTTATAGTAGATATTTGACTTTTAGTGTATGATTTGTTTTTTTTCTGGTTCTAAGATGGCAACCCTCCCCTCCCAAAAGGAGTATCTGGAGGGGGTGGGGAGCAGGAAGGGGGGGGGGATTTCTGGTGGCAAAGGTCAGGGGTTAGGGGTGGGATTTCTGGTGCAAAGATGGCAACAAGGGGGCCGGGAAACTGTCAAGGGGCAGAACTAGTCATGCAGCCCTCTATAGCTCACCAAAACTAGTTAAGCAGCCCTCCACCCGAAATAACTGCCCGCCCCTGGTCTATCCATATCCAATCTAACTTAATTCACCTCCAGGTTGGCCATGCTTGGACTGATCTTACCTCTTTGGAACTTCTGTACAGTTCACACTTACAGCGACCTAACTAGGGGTCTAAGTGTAAGGTCCACACATGGGTGAACTAAGTTAGGTCAGGGGGACATTTCTGACATGATCTAACCTCACCCTAGCCTCCCTGAATGTCAGTACATACCCACAGAGTGCAGTTCTTCACTTCCCCACATAGAAACTCATGTTTTAGCTCAGTATGCCTGATTCAATCCCCAGCAAAGCCTAAAATGTCAGTCTTCACACTTCCCTAGAAACTTCACTTCCATTCTTTTTTGTTTTGTTGTTCACAGTCTAAATATTGGTCATTTTGACTGAAACCATACTTACTCACTGTGAACCCTATAATAATCAAAATAGTTTCTCAAAACGCTCTGTGTCAAGAAGGGAACTAAAATCCTTCAGCTTTATTTAAAAAGGAACACCTCACTGCAAGAAGGCTATACTGGATTAGAAATTGGCTGGACGAAATGCATTTACAATCACTTCTCTACTTAGGAAGTTAATGGGCCAGAAAAAAACTATTCAAAAACCATATCAAACAAATGAATACTGAAAATAAGCCTTCCTAAGGTGTATGCTACATACCATTATATTACATACTAACTGAAGGTTCTACTACTTATCCTGATAAACCAGATGGAATCCTAGATTAGTTGATCAAGTACAACAGCCCTTCAGATGTTATTTCACCTAAACTTTATTTCACTTATATGCAGATGGAATATATTTCAGACCCAATAAGAATTTAAACCTGATTATGCATGATTATGTATTATTGTCCCTTGCAATAATCATTTTTAAAACAAATTCATATAGTTACTGAACAGTTTTTATAAAATTCTACTACTTTTTTAACCTCGTATTCAGGTTACTAAAAACAGAGACACATTTAAAATCAGAAAAACACTTGGAATGGAACTTTATGCTGCTGGTCTCCCCCAACATGACAGTCAAAAGACCTTGAGCAGTGAACTCATCAGAGCTCATGAACTCAGCAGAGTTGTGCCTTATTAATTCATGGGCACAAAATCTCCAAACATCTAGTGCTGTTGACAGTTCAGTAGATAGTCCTCCTTCATATGAATTCCTGGTCAAACAATGCTCTGGCATACTACTAGGAATGGAACTCTAGATGGAGGTAGGTCTTTGAGATTCAGTGAGATGGAAAAATGTAAGCTGATAACCTTTTAAATGCCTGGAATAGAACAGGGGAAATTTTTTTTTCTTATTCCTCTGTTGTTGGGATTTTGTTTGTTTGTTTTGTTTTTAATTCAAATATTAAATGTGGACTTGGATAGCAAAGTAGAAGAGAAACTTTATGAATGATGGGGTTACATTGATTTTATAGTTGGGTGTTACACGAATTTGAAAAAAAATCTTTAAGAAAAAAATGACAACTGCAGTAAAAATGCCTTGTAAAGCACCAAGCTGAATTAGTTCACAAGATGGTTTTATACATAAGGTAGTTTGTTCTCAATGATTAGTACAGAATATTGTAACAACAGTGATGCTATGAAATATATTTTCACCATTAAGTTATTACTGTGGGTAGTTTCATGTTATTTAAAGGAAAAATATTAATACATCCTAAGTATTATTGATGTTCAAGTCTCTGATTTTTCCCAATGTAACCATATTCAGTAGTTTCCCATGTAATTACTATATTCAGTAGTTTGCTCATTATGGATCTCAATTAGGCATAAAACTAACAATGTAAGATCAGTGGCTCTAGTGACATAAATGGGAGCAAGATTTGTCCCTGCATTATTAATACAGTTCACTGTGATCAAGGACACCTTTAATTTCTTGAATGAATGGAGAAAGCTATGTAGAAAATTTTCAAAAGATGGAGACCTACATGCGTACTCAAAAAATATCCTCCACTACACCTGCCCCAAGCAATCTCGACCATTGGGTGACTTAGAAAGGTATGGGGGTTTTTTGGGTTTTTTGCTGTATCTTTTATTTGACTGGCTGTATAGTTGAGAGAGACGTTTGTCAAGGAGACGTGAGGAAGGGCACTTTGTGCTCAAAAGCTTGTCAAACCTCTTTCCCAAATACAGAGATGTTCCAATAAAATATATCACCAAAAAAAACTACCTCTCATACATTTCCTAGAGTACTCCAACACTCCAACCCCAGTATGACAATGAGTGCCTTTACATTTATACTACCAGCCTGGATCTTGTTAAGACCACCTAGTTTAAGCTCCCAGACTGCTCCCAGACAAGCTCTGTATGTTCTCAGAGAACCCCCGCACCTAATGGCCAGTCAGTGTCATATTCATTCTTTTGTTCATAGATATATAACAGCGGTTTTCAAGCTATAGTCCGTGGGCCCTTAGTGGTCCGCAGACTATGTCTAAGGGATACGCAAAAGGTGACTATGATGAATCAAAAGTATGTGAACACCCACTGTCACAGGGCACTAACGTGCCTGCTCCTTTAAGGGCTGAAACTGCCTAGAGAGAGAGCCCTAGCAGTCAGTCAGGAACCCCTCAGCTGCAAGTTACTATGGCAGCAGGAAGGAGGAAATTAGCCCGCACCTGCAGGCGGTCAGCTGACCGGAAGAGGCAGGCCCTGGGGCATATATAAACCCCAGGGCTGGGACCAGAGAGTCAGTTCTTTGCCAGCAGCCAAGGGGGAAGGAGGTGTCCTAGAGGAAGCTAAGTGAAGAGGTGTGACAGCCCATTCAGCTCCTGGTAAGATTAAGGGACTTCAGAAGGTCAACAGATACCCTGGCCTACGAGGCACCTAATGCTGGGGGGAAGGGTGATTCTTTTAAAGGGACAGAGCACACCCTGAGCTGCTTGCATTATGGTATAGCCCAGGGGCTTGTATTTTGATTTCTGTTTGTAAACTGGTGGATTGGGCTGAGACTACTGGAGAGGGAGGAGGCCTCATTGGGGGCCCACTACAGTGTGGGGACCCCAGTGCCAGTGTGGGTGCAGTATCTGGGGGTGAGTGGACCCCAGCGCCAAGGAGTGCAGAGAGAGAGAGACAGGGCTGCAGAGAGCCCAGCGACAACCGGGGGCCAAGTCAAACTAAAGCCTCAGAGGGACACAGTGTGAATACTATCTGCGAGGCTTGGGGCATGGTAAAGGGACAGTTTGGAGCCATGCATCTAACCCATAAGGCTGAGCGTGTCATGAGAGGCATCCATTTTGGAGTGGGACCCAAAAGGGGTCGAGAACCCACAGGGTTCAGTGAGGTCCATCAGGACCATGCCCAAAATACAAACTTGAGGGCAGCCTCCCTACTTATTACAGTTACAATAAGACATGGCAGATGGGAAAGAGGATGCCCATTGGCCAGGATTTGGCATAGTCAGGGAGCCCTAGGGGTATCATGGCCTTCCCTGGGGACCCCATCCTGTGACCCTCCCTTACCATGCAAAGGGGTCCATACTTCAATTTAAAAATGTTTAGGGGTCTGCAAATGAAAAAAGGTTTAAAACAACAGATATATAATATCTACGTACAATACTAAACCCAAAGGACAAAAGAAGAGAGCAGGTTTACAATTTAGTCTTCCTGAGAAATTAATCTTTCTAGAAGCAGGTAAAACTATGCTTCATAAATATTCTCTGTTGGTGTGAGAAGGCTGCTTCAACACACCAAACACAGTCATATCCAAATTTTCTGCAGAAAAGGGTAGTTTGTTCCTCTGCTTAGAGTCCTCCCTTGCCCAGCCAGAGTGTCCAAATACAAAAATCTCCTCCTTCCCTCCCCCAAAAACCCCACTTAAACTAATTCTACTCTCTAGGTCAAGTTAGCCTATTTGCTGCAGGAAACCAGCACTTCATCTTTTTTCTTAGTGGAAGGGTTTTCAAGGTTCTTGTTTAATAGAAAAGTGCCCATATCCTCCATCTACCATGGATTCCAACCCTAGGGCCCTAAACAATAAACTCCCAAATTCAGTCATCCTTTCTTCACTTTCCGCTTTTAGATTTGCCTGATGGCCTTTGAGACTCCTCACTGATCCTAACAGTATCCTCCGTAAATAGTCAAGGACTAAAAGCTAGGCCTTCACTCTCCCAAGATGTCTCCATCTTAGGTAATATGATTTGCCTTGTTTCCTTTCTCCAAAAGATCTTTCTCTCCTATACTCACAAGATTTCTCCAGGATCTAAAGATTCACCTGTAACAGAATGACTAAGCCCAAGACCATCATTAAAAAAACAAAGAGTTGCTGTTACAGCCAACAACTTGAAAATAACCCACAGGTCCATAAAAAAAAAAAAATGCATATACTTCATTTTCATCAACATCTAATTTCCTGTGAAAATGACAGATACTTTTCAGAGATGGCCAACTGTCAATTTATCATGGAAAATAAGTTAACTATAATTATTTTCTGCAAAACTAATCAGGGGAATATTCATTATTTTTTCCTCTGAGGTTGACATTTCACTGGCAGAAATAACAAAACTTCAAATTTATCAAAAATAAATAAGAATATATTTTATTTATGAGCAAAAATTAGTAACAGCGCATAGGCCAACAAGAAAATACACTTTTGAAAAAATGTAAGAAGCCAAAAAGAGCAACAGTGAATTAAAGTTACTGGTCCAAACTCAAAATTGGCCTAAGAGGTCTGAACTGCACATAAGTCAGGGAGCACAGTTCAGAGTCCAGAAGATGCTGCATGAATGGCTCAATACATTCATGCCATCTTGCTCTATGCTGCTCTCCTGCTGTCCAGATCTTCAATTTTTGTGGGAAGCAAATCTGGGCCTCTTGTTTCAAGAATCTCTAGGGAAACCTAGAATTTTCTTTTCCCAGATATTCTTCCCATGACCATTTTTAAAGGAACAGGCAACCAGGCCCACTGAATTTACAAGAAAATAAATTTAAAAATTAAATAATTTCAACAGAAAAAGATGCTGAATCATCATTACTAGTTCTAGAGTAAACTGAGTCCTTACAGTAATTATTACTAAGTTAAATTATCCAGAAACTACAGTGACAGGTTCAGTGTAACACCTGACATAGAACAAAAAAGATGGGACGTGAACGGCAGAGAATTTCCTGCATTAAAAGAACTGGAAAGAAGAGCAAGTACACATCTACTAAGAAGAAAGCATAATTATAGTGGATGGCATTTATGCCTGGTCACTTACTTCCAAAACTACTGTCAACCATTCTCATCCAAGTGTTAGAATTAATTTCATTTTTTCATTTCATTCAACCCATATTTCTGGTCCAGTTATAATCATCACTTCTCTGTACTAGTATGGAAATAAATGACTGCCATTCTTGGCCTTTAAGTCAGTCATCTTCCAGTCAAAAAAGTCAATCTAAAATTTCTGCTATGGTGCCATGTCTCATACTAAGAGGATTCTTTTTCATTAAATTGTAGCTGCTCATCTCAAACTGACATTCAATGCCAATCATCACTTTATCAGTGTCAGAAGATACATTTTATCAATAACTGACTTCTCAAGCAGCAACAGAAACATCTTCTGAAAGGAAAGTAAAAATAAAATCAGGAAGAAAAGAACCCTCTTTCTAATTGAACAGTGTATTTTGGATGGTCAAATCTGGCTGGCTTTTTTTACATGTAGCATGAAAACTGATACCACTATATTGATATCTTTACTCACAAGAACAATCCTAAGAAAGTTGTCCCCAGGGTAAACAAGATTTCAGTTTGTTAAAAGTGCTTGCAAGAACAGACTCTTAACCCTCTTCATATTACTTAACATGCACAAATCTTGTTAATGCTCCCTCTCCAACTCTGATACCTTATGGGTGCATCTATACATGCACTTAACTGTGCAGTAGACTAATTTGCCGAGGTGTAAAGCATCACAGTCTACATGTGCAATGTCATTAGACCACAGCAAACTAATTTTCGCCACTGTAAGATAGTACTGTCGGGGACAGGGACAGTACTATCTTACAGTGGTAAAAATAATTGCACCTAAATGCATGTGTAAATGCAGACCCTGACCCAGGTGTACACTGAGCTTGGTCAGCCGAGGCAGCAGGAGGCCAGACCCCTGCTTGCCACCTAGCCACAAGGCTCCACATGCTGGGGAACTCTTGTGCTCCAGCCAGCCCCTCCACTGCCTGACAACACCTCACAGAGACTGGAGCTGACCCCACAGCCCCTCAACCAGCCCAGGGCTACTCCACCCCGGCTCAAACTGTTGCTGTCCCAGGCACAGCACATGCACCCTGGACCACAGAAGTATGAGCATCTACACATGCCATTAGGGCACTGTGATAAATTCCAATGCAAACTGCATCAGAGTTTATCACTTCACCCTAATGTTGCATGTAGATGCACCCCTTAAATCACAATCTAGTTCTCAAATATTGTTTTACTTTCTTCCTGTGTTCTTATTCAAGTCATGGACCAAATGAAGAACTAATATGCAACTTTCTACTGACTTTTGTGACGAATAGGCGTTTACACAAGTGAACTGGGCCAGTCTTACTGATTTTATGGCTGAGATGAGATGAGATCAAGTGCGGCTAGAGGTGATCCTCAGATTAGCTGGCATCCTAATTAACCAGATGTTCCCTAAAAACTTCTGAAATCATATCCAAAATACTGGAATTTCCTTTCTTGATTCTGAGTTCATGATTTCAAAGCTTCCAGTGATTGGCTCCAAATGATTCAAAGTTCCAAAACCCAGAATCCTCTGTGATTCTCGGGTATCCTCACGATCTTTCAGTAATCAGGACAATACTAAAGCTGGCCTTCTGACTAGTGTTTTCCTAATAAGAAAACACCAATTAGGTATTTTATAAAAATTTAAGCAGAACTCCATTACTCCATATCAGACTGCTGTCATTTAAAAGCACCTGGCTTCCCTCAAGTTTGAAGTTGTAGTTGAACATGTTTTCATAGTTTCATAGTTGGTAGGGTAGGAAGGGACCTAAGTAGATCATCAAGTCCGACCCCCTGCCATGAGCAGGAAAGAATGCTGGGGTCAAACGACCCCAGCTAGGTGGTGATTTTGATTTATCTAAATGACCTCCAAAACCTCCTAATCCCCAAGAAATGTTCAAAGCATTAAAAATACCATTTCTATCCATATCTTAACTAAACCTTCCCAAGTGAAATTTTACCAAATGGAATCTTACCAAATGAAATTTGGGCCCCGCCCCCAACTTCAGGAGGGATGTGGATAAGCTTGAGAGAGTCCAAAGGAGAGCCACCCACATGATCAAAGGACAAGAGAGCAAGCATTATGAGGAGCGGCTGAGGGACATGGGGCTCTTCAGTCTGGAGAAGAGAAGGCTCAGGGGGGACTTAGTGGCAGCCTATAAGTATATAAGGGGGATACACCAAGATCTGTGAGAACAGTTGTTCACCAGGGCTCCACAAAGGATAACAAGATCTAATGGCCACAAATTTCTGGAAGGCCAATTTAGATTGCACATAAGGAAAAATTCCTTTACAGTCCAAGTGTCCAGGGTCTGGAACAGACTCCCCACAAAGGTAGTTCAAGCACCTACTCTGGACTCACTCGAAAGGCATTTGGATGCTTATCTTGCTGGGGTCATTTGACCCCAGCAGACTTCCTGCCTATAGCAGGGCAGCTGGACTCGATGATCTCATGAAGTCCCTTCCAGCCCCCAATGTCAATGAAAACTATGAACCAAACATACCTACAATGCCGGAAATAAGTCTCAGAGTAGATAACTGTCTATGAATATTAAAAATATCTGAAAATAAAAGCTTAAAC